AACCATATTTTGTTTATGTCTCAGTATGTTTCTCTTTGAGTTTTTCTTACTTGAAATTTTTTGAGCACTGTGGATGTGTTATTCATGTTTTTTGTCAAATTTGGGAAATTTCAGCCATTATTTATTCAAATGTTCTTTCTGCTTCTTTATCTCTCTCTTTTACTTCTGGGACTCCCATTTATGTGTATGTTAGTCCACATGATGACATCTCTTAGGTTTTGTTTGCTTTCTTCATTCTTTTTAAATTTCTCCTCCTTACATTTGGTTATTTCAACTGTCATATTCCAAGTTTGTCATTCTTTTTTCTACTTGCTCAAAACTGCTGTTGAACATTTCTAGAAAATGTTTTCATTTCAGTTATTTTAGTTTCAGTTCTAGTGTTTCTGTTTGGTTACATTTTTATAATTTTTAATTGATATTCCCATTTTGTTCATACATTTATTTCCTTATATCCTTTAGTTCCTTGTCCATGTTTTTCTTTGGACATATTTAAGACAGTACATTTTTCTCTTTGTCTAGTAAGTCTGATGTCTGGATTTCTCAGGAACAGTTTCAATTTTATTTGCTTCTTTAAAAGAGCCATACATTTCTGTTTATTATTATGCCTTGTGATTTTTTGTTGTTGTTTTTGAAAATTGGTCATTGTTTTCATTATAATGTGATGGTTCTGGAAATCAGATCCTCTTCCTTCTCCATATGAAGATTTTGTTGTTGTTGTTGTTACTTCATTTGATGCAGGCTATAGAAGTCCATTGTTTAGGTTTTTATTTATTTTTTATTGAGTAATAGTCGGTTTACAATGCTGTGTCAATTTCTGGTGTACAACACAATTTTTCAGTCATACATGAATATACATATATTTATTTTCATTTTTCCCTATGAGCTACCACAAGATTTCGTGTGCTATACGGTATAATCTTGTTCATCTATTCTGCCTATACTTGTCAGTATCTACAAATTTTGAAATCCCAGTCTATCACATCCCATCCACCTCCCCCTTGGCAAACACAAGCTTGTATTTTAGGTCTATGAGTCTGTTTCTGTTTTGTACTTATGTTCTTTTATTTTTTAGATTCCACATATGAGCAATCTCATATGGTATTTTTCTTTCTCTTTCATTTCTCTTTCTCTTACTTCACTTAGAATGACATTCTCCAGTGCCATCCATGTTGCTGCAAATGTCATTATTTTGTCATTGTTTACAGCTGAATAGTATTCTGTTGTATAATTATACCACAAGGTTGTTTAGGTTTTTAAGCTAAAATACTTGTGCAAAGGCTGTATTCCTTTGTATTCCTAGTCACATATGATCACTGAAGTGTGTATTCATTTAGATAATATTTAGCTATTATTTTGACAAGGATTTCCTTAAGTGCCAAGAGTTAAAACAACAACAACAGCAACAATGACAACCAAAAAACCCCACACATCTCTTTGATTCTTTGCAATTTGGCTCTGTGCTGAAGCACTCCTTCAACAGTTAGGCAAATTGGCACTTAGCCTATGGATCAGCCTAGTGTGTAAACTTTGGGTCTTCTCCATATTTTTCTAAGCATGTGTCTTGTCCTGGTTATGCATGTGCCTTTCTAAATTCCCCCATATGTATGGATGTTTTTGAATGTCCTAATTTCCCAAAAATTCTTCCCCAACTTTTGTTTCCAGACTTAGACAGTCTATTGTATGTCTCCATCCATAGTTTCTTGCCTCAGGCACCTGTAGTTTTTCAGTTTGCTTTGCAATATTTTTAATAAATGCCCACTCATTTTCCAGCCTGCATTCTTAACTGAATTAAACAGGGATAATTACCTTCTATTTGTCCTTCAGATAACTGGTTAGAATGTATATATTCAGTAATTGGTGAATAAGTTTTTCTCAGCTCAGTCTGGAACTAGGGATGAGGGTCTCATACTAGACCTGTTGCTGGGGAGAGAGGTACAGTAAGGTAAGTGAAAATGGCACAAAGCTTTCCTGTCATTTTCAAGATGATTTTTCTTGATTCAGAATTTGCTTCATTGCTGTAAATGTTTGTTTGACTGTTCCCCAAATTTATGACAACATTGATCCTGACAGTTTCTATTTGTTTTTCTATGTTTCTGTGAGGGAATGAAAGCTAGGAGATATTGCATTCTCCACTTTCCTCATATCATTTATTGTTTTTAATACATTGATTTCAGCATCTCCCTGTGTGTCCCTGTGCACCAGAAAATCAAAGTATAAATAAAATTGAAGAGATTTTAATTATAAAATAAGTATAAAGAAAAAAAGGCAGTTTTTTGTTGGGCCAAACCTGAGAGAGGCATACATCATTTTATCCATATTCCATTGGCTAGAAATTAGACACATGATCTTATAAAACTGCAGTGGGGTTAGGGCATATTGACCAGTGGTATTCCCAGGAGGAAAGGAGAATGAGTTTAGTGAACAACCAGCCAACTTCTGCCACAACTAGCAAATATCTAACATATATTTTTTATAGATGCTTCTTTTTTTAACATTTTTTATTGATTTATAATCATTTTACAATGTTGTGTCAAA